GTGGGGGGGGGCAGATGCCTGGCTCTAGAGAAGGGGAGGGGAGGGGGATCGGGTTGGGGTAGAAGTGGTGTGCATGGCATCCTGGATGCGGCGCAGCAGCTCTGGCTCTGAGCATAAGGTTAGGAGGGTGGAGGATTGGGTTACAGCAGGGAGGGGAGGTGTCTGGCTCTGGGGAAGTGAAGGAGAAAGGAAGGGGGATTGGGTTGCGCATGGCATCCTGGCTAGCTCATGCTCAAAACCAGCTGCTCAGCGCAGATGCCCCAGCGCCTGGAGGGAAACACACGGCTGTAGCAGCGGCTCTGGGACCCGAGAATTAGGTTAGAGTTGGGGGAGGGGGATTGAGATGGGAGTATGCCCCCTTATAGTACCTCCTGATAGTCTGGTATATCCGATAATCCGACACCATCTAGGTCCCAAAGGTGCCGGATTATCAGAAGTCTACAGTATTACTTTTTGAGATTTTGGCTTGCTGTTCTTCAAACTCCTTTTTGGCTTTTCTTAATTTTTTACACTTAATTTGACCAAATTTATGCTCTTTTCTATTTTCCTCAATAGGATTTGGCTTCCACTTTTTAAACAATGACTTTTTAAATCTCTCACTGCTTATTTTACTTGGTTGTTAAGCCATGGTGGCATTTTTTGGTTTTCTTATTGTGTTTTTTTAATTTTGGGTATACATTTAAATTGGTCCTCTATTATATCTTTCAAAAGGTTCCATGCATCTTGCAAGAATTTTACATTTGTCAGTGTACCTTTTAATTTCTGTTTAACGAATCTCCTCATTTTTATATAGTTCTGCTTTGTGACATTAAAAGCTTTAGTGTTGGAGTCCGGAGGTGTATTTCCCATTATAGAAATGTTAAATTTTCTTTCATTACATAAGCGGTCCAGTTATATTCATTTCTTGGACCAGATCCCGCACTCCACTTAGGACTGAATCAAGAATTGCCTTTCCTTTCATGGATTCCTGAAAAAGCTGCTCCGAGAAGCAGTCATTTAAGGTACTAAGGAATTTTATTTCTTCATCCCATCCTGAGGTGACATGTACCAGTCAATATGGGAATAGTTGAAATCCCCCACTATTATTGAGTTTTTGTTTTGATAGCCTCTCATATCTCCCTTAGCATTTCATAGTCACTATCACTGTCCTGACCAGGTGGTCGATAATATATTTCTACTGCTATATTTTTATTATTAGAGTATGAAATTACTACCCATAAATATTCTGTGGAATATTTTGGCTCATTTAAGGTTTTTACTTCATTTGATTCTACATTTTCTTTCACGTCTAGTGCCACTCCCCACCCTTCTGATATATTTCGTACCGTGGTATGACTATGTCCCATTGATTGTCCTCATTTCATCAAGTTGCTGTGATGCCTATTATATCATTAGCCTCCTTTAATATGAGGCCCTCTAGTTCACCCATCTTATTATTTAGACTTCTAGTGTTTGTGTATGAGCACTTCAAAAATTTGTCACTATTTATCTGTCTGCCATTTCCTGATATGTTAGACTCCTTTTCATTTGATTGTTTCTCATCTGATCTGACCCATACTTTATCATCTTCCATCCTCTCCAAACAAGTAAATAAAATAAAAATGCAGGGGGAAAAACAAACTAAGAGTACGTAGGTTTTTAAAACTCTATATATTTCTATTTACAAAAACAGATTTTCTTATATCTGATGCTTAATACATAATAAGGTTTAGCTACAATTTCACTTGTTTTATGTAGTTTTTCTATTGTAAATACAAAGTGTATTCTTTCCAGGTAAATGACATTAGTCATTAAGTAATGCTTTAGCTTTAAAATAGTTATCAATAACTGTACATCACATATGTAATGCATTCTTCGGAAAAGCATTGTGAGATCCAAGGACATTGCAAATTTCAAAAAAGCGATGAAGTACAACACTACATGCATTGTACTTAGATGATACTGGGTTTCAAGTATAGCACATTATGAGGCAAGATACAAGGATGTGCCCTTTTCAAGGACCTGATAAGTGGTCTTATTCTAGTAAAATATGTGCATGAATACTTTTATTGTCATTACAAAAGATCTGCAACATTCAAAAACAAAATAAAAAATGTCAAATCTATTCTCCCAATATTTATGCTTAGCCAAAATTTAGAATGCAATTTGGGATCATTATGTTACCATTTTTGCTTTTTGAATGAAAGCTAATTTAATATAATTATTGTGATTGTCTTCTCTAAACTGAGACACTCAGGATAAGACCGTAGGCCCTCATTTTAGAGGTATGTTGAGATCATTTTTTCCTTCGGTGTGAAAGTGGGTATCAGGGCTGCATGGTGCCTCTCACTTATACAGTGCACAATCACTCATGATCTAAGTTTTTGTCTATATTTTAATTCACTTGTCTAGATTAGGGAAGCTCCTAGAACTAGATTAGCATTCATCTCAGTCATCTAAATCAGAATAACATGACCTAGCTACTCTTGGATTTTACATTGGAATTGCTAGGGCATGGCCACACTTACATTATAAGAACACCTTTTTCTTGGTCTATATCTATGCTGAGAGAAAAAAAAAAAAGGTCTGTATTTAGGTTAAGGAACTCACAGTAGCTACCTGGGATTAAAATAGCAATGAAGACATGGCAACTCACTTTTCACATATTGTTGGTGGCTCCAGTGTAACCCCATGTTTTCATATAGTCTGTAACTTAAACTACTCATCTCAGGTAAGAGCTATGTTGCCTTGTCTACAATATTACTTTAATCCCTATTATCTAAAACAGATTAGTTAACCCAATTTGGGAACACATGTTCTTGTGCAGTGTAAACATACCCCAAGTGTAGGTGAGGCTCCAGATGAGAATAAAGGGCTATGGCAGAGTATGGTATAATTGTCACACTAGTCTTGTATTCCACTTTTGACCCCTGTGGAGGGCTCTCACAATGGACAATTCAGTCTTTAAGGAAAAAATAGGGGGACAATCCTTAAATGTACACAAAAAAACTAAGCTCACTGCTATTAATAGATAATTGTATATGCACATCCAACTGTACCAAAGCAGCAGGTGTAAGTTAACACTGCATCTTTCTTGCTGTGTGCTGAGCTTGTGTCTGTGAGTGAGGGTTGGTGTGTGTTCTTTTTTGTTTTTTGTTTATTTATTTATTTATTTTCCCCTGTGTTTGAGAGTGAGGCTTTTTCCCCCCCCACATCCTTTCTGCCCTCCCCCTCCCCTTGATGGAGTTTGTGCTGTGATTGGCAGGTGGAAACTGTTGGCTTCTAATTAAAGTTTGAATTCTAGAAGCCTCTGCTGATTGGCTGAGCCTTGGTTGGGGGAGGGGCTTTATAAGGCAGTGGGCAAGCTACTAAGGAGGTTGCGAACAGGTGAGTGCTAACAGGGAGTTTTGAGAAGGAGTTTGGAAGGGGAGAGGGAAGGGCGGGAGATTCTCTTGCCTTTCTTTTTAAATCCCTTTTCCAGGACAGCAGCGATGGTTAGTGATGAAATTAAATAGCATACGTTAGGCTGAAATGTAGATATTAACTACTTGCCTGCCTTGAAAGACGGTACAAGGTGTATGGTATATTGGTTTGGGAAGTGACTGTTTCAATTCTAAATACTACATGTAGATATGAGATTAAGTTCTGTGTGTCAGAGGTATCCATAAACAGGGCTGAAACATCGGAAGACAGGGATACTTATCTGTGTTCATGTTTGGTATGAATTGTAGAATACTAGAAATGGAGAGGTCATTGAGTGCAAGACCATGCACCATTTAGAAGACCCATCATATTTTGACATGCTCAATTTTTAAATTTTAGCTCACTGCACATGAAATAAGCAGCAAAGGAAATGCAAGTATGCTGGTACAGTTAAATGTGTTGGTCATGCCAGTATAGCACAGTGTGATGAATATTCAATTCTTCATTAGTTCTACCAACCAAAGGGTTCATTAGTGTCTCTAAGACAGTCTTATACTGAGGGCAATTTATAGCCATGCTACCTCAGGAGGAGTGCAGCCAGTGTTGTCATCCTGCAAGGAGAGTAACACTCCGTTGTGGCTTACCAACTCTGAAACAAGAGCACTGGTTCCTCTACCCCTCATTTGCTTTCTACCCCAAGTGGGTTTTGAAGAGAACAGCTAATGCATCTTGGCTTTTACGGATTGCTACTGTACAGGCATACAGGAATGAGGGCTTCTCTTTCTGCATTATTATTATGTAATCTCCAGGCCTCAGAACTTTCTGTCTGCACTGTCGGAACAGAAAATGTGGTTTCCACAAAATCAAAAAGTTGCTGACTTTTCTTTTTTTTGTTTTGTTTTGCTCTATCAGGAAAATGTAAGTGAATCAAAGGACTTAATTTTATATTGAGTTGATCCAAATCAAAATTTTTTGATTTGCTGAACTTAATCTATATTTTTTAGGTTAATTTGGCTGCTATGGAGCTTTACAGGAATTGCAGGCCCATTCTCCCTTATGGGACAATTCTCTAGGCCAGGGCTGGGCAAAAGGGCCTCCACAGGCTGGATCTGGCCTGCCAAGAAGGCTGATCTGGCTCATGGAGGTCCTGCTGCTCTCTTGCCCACAAGCCAATTAGGGTCTGTGGCGGGAAAGCATGGAATTGTCCTGGCTCTTCCCCTTCCACACGAGGCCCTGCCCCTTCCGCAGCAGCCCGGAGCCACTTCAAAAATATCAGAAGTGGCCCCCAATAAAAAATGATTGCCTACTCCTGCTCTAGACATCCAGTCTCCCATGATGCCGCACTTTGACTAAGTTGCTAAGGTACACCATGGAAGATGTAGTTCAACCAGGGTTCCTGGTTCATAAGAGGGGATGGGGCATGAAATATCTGAGCTACGACTTTCAAAAGGTACAATTTAATGTCATGCTGACCCAAAATTAAAATGTTGATATTCCTGAATCAAAGCTTTTCAGATCTTTTCATTCCAAGAAAAGTTAAAAATTTTCAACCTGACAAAGGAAAAAAGTAGTTTGTCAAAATGTTTCAATGTACCACCACAGAGCAGAAATTCCCATTTTTAACCAGCTCTAATCAAGAGACAAGTTTCCAGTGTTAATTTAATTCCAGCTTCTAAGCAATGCAACCCACTATCAGCAAGCCCCAATTTAATGTCATGCTGACCCCAAATTAAAATATTGATATTCCTGAATCAAAGCTTTATAGATCTTTTCATTCCAAGAAAAGTTAAAACTGGTTTTATTTTTAAAGAAAAGTGCTGGTTTTATTTTTAATCAAGGACTCATACACAACATTAGAGGGGAAGCATTCCCTAATTTCCTTCCAATCTTTGCTTTACAGAAGAGACAGAATGTTGAATATTAGAAGACTTCTGCTCCTCCCAATCTTAATAAAAAAAGATTCTTAACTTTTAACTGAGGTAGGAAGGAAAAGAGGCTAATCTGACAAACACACACATTTCACAAATCCAATACAACTATTTATGCTGTCTCACAGTAGCTCTAGTAATCTTGAAAGTTCATATTTAATATCCAAAGACTATACACAATACCATAGAACACAGAAGTTATGCTACAGTATTGACAGAGGAAACTGAGAGACTTACATATAGAATGAATGTTTTGTTAGTTCGATGTGGTAATTCCTCTGTACAATATGTATAAACTACCAAGAGAAGCTGAGATATTTTTGGCTTCAGTATCGTCAACAGGCAAATGATACTAGCTCTGAGTTCCTTAACTGAACTGAGATTCTGCAAAATCATCCGTCTCCTGGTGACTGGCTGAAATTAGAATGTGGATACAAGTGCACTGAGACTTGCCTCTGTTCAGGTGGAAGAGATACTTGTTACTAGACAGGGAAACATTTAGACCAGCATAGACAGGCTATGTTTGCACTTTACATCGTGAGTACACCCCAATTGCAACACATGGTTCTTAGTTTCCTGAATGATAAGTCATAATATCTTATACTATTTTTGGCTTGCCAAAGGCAGTGAATCATTCGCACTTTTGCCATGTCCAGGCTTGATTACCCTAATTCACTTTATTTGGGTAAATTTACCAAGAAAACATGTCAATTAGCAAGAATTCCACCATCATTCCATTAGTACAATGGCTTGGCAGAAACAAAACACATTCACACAAGACTCTGCTCTGGCTTTATGTTCACATAGAAGTAAAATTTGACAGGTTTACAATGACCTTTAGAGTTTTACGTGGTCTGGGACTCTCCGACCATAACCCATCAGAAAGTATACAGATATGCTATGAAGTGGTCAATTTCAGCAGCAGAATCACCTTAGTATAAGATGGCAGGAATAATGGATTAAAGGTGGCTAAGCCTCCCCACATAAGATATTATGCACTGCCCTTTGGAGAGGTGCTGCCAGCCTTCTGCCTGTGAAGTGCCACCACCAAAAGGGCACCGGAGCCATGGCTCCACCTGCTGTCTGTCCCATAGTCTGACTCCAGAATCCTGCCCTTTCCTCATGGCCACTGCTCCATTTAAGTCTGCCTTTTCCACTCAAGGCCAGTCATGCTTCTTCACCCCTTTTCCCCCCCATCCACAACTCATGCTTCTCCAACACTTCCCCCATAACCCTCCTGACCCCATCTGTCATGACTCCACTCCATCCTCTGTGGCCTTCCCCCTGTCTTCTTTTAGCACCTTTTCACCTTGAGAGGTAGAGAGTTATGGGTGCCAGGGTCCCTCAGAAAAGGAGGCAAAAAAGCATGGGCAGCAGGGCCCAAGGGGTCAAGTGTTATGAGTAGTGGGCAGGGAATGGCCACAATGGAGGGGGCAAAGAGGCATGAAGAGAGCCATGTGCAAAGAGGCAGAGGGGAGCTTTGGGGAGGGGACAGAGCAATGTGGGAACTTTGGGAGAGGGCGCCATGTGAGACCACACTTCAAAAGGGTTTCTAGCACTCAGGCCAATTCTGCCCAAATGCAGGAGATATACACCACCCATGTAAGGCTTCCTTTATGAAATACACTTGTTTAGCAATATGTCTGAGCTACATGCTGGTGAAGCCTCAAAAAATGTAAGACCTATTTATCTGCTTTTACAATTTGATTAAGGTTTTTTGTTCTGCTTATTGTTTTATGCTTCATCTCCTACATAGGAAGCCACTAGTTACCAAGGCAATAGGCAAGATTCTACATGGAGTCAGCAGGTTAAGTGAATATGTTGCTAAATTGGGACTCGGGAGACCTGGAGGTCTATTCCAAACTCCATCACTGACCAGCTATGTGATCTTTGGTAAATCATATCACCTCTGTGTGTAAGTGTCTCTTTTCCCACTATATGTGTGTTTATATTGGGAGCTCCCTGTGGGGTAGCTAATAGTCTTTTGCTATGCATTTATTCAAAGCCTAAGAATAAGACCCCATTCTCAGTCATGGACCCTAGCTGCTATCATAATAAATTAGTATGATAATCTGAAATTTCTTACTTTGGTTGTTGCATGTGAATTCAAAAGGATATTGTTCTCCCTAGAGCAGGGGTGGGAAAATTCTGGCCCGCAGTCCAGATCTAGTTCATGGAATTAGTCCCTGGTGGGCGCCCATCTCTACGTTTACCTGTGCCGCTATAGGTATCAGATAATTGCAGCTCTCGTTGGCCGTGAATTGCCATTTGCAGCCAATGTGAGCAGCGAGAAGTGTGTCCCAGTCTGCGTCACTTCCCAACGCTCATATTGGCTTCAAACGGCGATCTTCAGCCAAGAGGAGGAACCATCATCTGATACCTGCAGAGGTGCAGGTAAACATAGTGTTGGTGGCCCGGTTGGGACTAACCCTGGTCGGCTGCTATTTTTTTATTGCCCGCTTCTGCCCTAGAGGCACATTGTTGCCTCCTATTAGTATGAATGGAAGTTGTGGAATGTACCGAGGGAAAAATGAACCCACAAACTACACTAAACAGGAATGCTTTTATAAACAGGAATATGTTATAAGAAAAATGAAATTTACTGCTGATAGTACACATTACTGTAAAACTCAACAGAGCCTTTGATGTTAGTTGTATTAAATTTTAATGAAAATCTTATTATGGCAATTCGGATGTTTAAGATAGTTATAGGTTTGGAAACAGTCTAGCACTGACATGTCAGCATAACCAAACCACTTCCAGCTAAGTACTCTGAGAATGTAGGATAATAACAACCGGTTCTGCTTTACTTCACTCTGATGGGTCTTGTGCCCAACAAGCACAAATAGTGGCTTGACAGAAGCATAAATGTCCAGAAATAAAAGAGACTTATGTGGAACAGGAAGGGCTGCTTTCAGTAACAATTAACAATAAGGATGGATCGAGAATATAATAGACATTGCAATATTTTAAGAAATGTGGGTACCATCTACAATACATCTCATGCTACATAGTAAAAGCATTTTAAATAATTCTGTATTTACTTTAATAAATGTTACTCATAGCATCTCTTGGTTGTCCTGCAAGCTGTTGCTTATCTTACTAAGAATAAATTATTCAGTGATTTGCTAAAAATATTTGTTACAGACAATTTTGAGGGAGCAGATGATAAAATATGGAGAAAAATATTTGTATGAATTCATTCATGAGATTATTTATTCAGTAATTGTAAATGAAGCAGAACAAATACAGCACATCACTGATAATTTGCTTTTGCAATTTTGTAATTACTATTTAGGACAATTATTGAACTTTCTTACCATATGCTGAAAGATGGTATCAAGGGGCACTAACTTCTCATTTTACGTCTTTCTCTTATGAGCCTTTTAAGTCTGCTTCTGATGTAAAGCTATTGAAGCCCATCATAAAGTCCTGTTGATAACACATGCAGTATCTCATTAGGCCATGCTATTACTTGACTCCCAAGAAGAGCAACATAAAGGGGATAACACTGTATTACAGTGCTTCTCTGAATGAGACCTTTTGTGTGAAATAAAACAAAGATATATATATTTTTAAACTCCCTGCAAGTATTTGAATGAAAACACAGATGTATACCACCTTAAGGGGGTTTGGATCAAAACTCTCTCAGGGTTTTGCTGTGACTCTTGAAGTTGTATGACCAGCCATCTTTTTTAGTTGATCTTTTATAATACTGATTTTTTTTTCCTTTCAGAACTGTAAAAAATAAAACTTCAAAAAGGTCTGCAAAGACAATGGTATATCTTCAAGTAATGAAAAAAGAAGTTTGAAATGGTTTCATCTATGAAGAAAAGTATCCCTTTTTTGTTAATGTTTTTAAAAAAACCTCTTTAGAAAGAGTCTTTTAAATAAACTCTTTCCAATCTTTGTTACAGACAAGCTCTAGAAACATAGTTCTTCAGTCTAACAGGGACAATACAACCAGGGCACTTTAAGATAAAAGCTTGTTTTCAGATAAGAATGCTTTGAAGCTAGAAGATCCACAACAATGTCTCACTTCTCCATGTCAAGCATGTGACTCCAGAGCACTTTCAACAGCAAATGTCTAAACATAAAGCATGTAAAAAGAAATAATTAAAACCCAAAACATGTTTAATGTCGCAAGAAAAGAAGAGAGGCATCAAACTGAACTCATTTGCTTTGTCATATCATGCACAGAATATATGCAATGGAATCCTCATTTGCAAATGTTTGCTCCATCAAAAATCATCATTAGGATATACTTTCTAGGCAGCACACAGAGTGAACTAATGCACATCCTGACTGCAGGTGTTGATTAGACATTTCTGTTCAAACTAAGAATTACCCAAACACTGCTACATCTAAATTGTCCTGTTTTTCCTCTACAAGTAAAGTTAATGGATTCCATAGGGATGAAGACTTACAGAAAATCTAAACTTCAGGGAAAAATACAGGCTAAAAAGAAAGAAGAGAGAAGCACTATGTGAACTCACATCAAATCTGTCTGAGGAACACTTACTTACTATAGATGTCAATTAAAAATAGCTTACAGCGCACCATGTACGAACTAGTACAGTAAACTTCCGATAATCCGGCACCTTTAGGACCCAGGGGGGTGCCGGATTATCAGATATGCCGGACTATCAGGAGGGGGGGCTATGAGGGGTCTGGAGTGGGGTGGGAGGGGATGCCACCCCAGACCCCTCATAGCCCCCCTTACGATAGTCAGGCTCTGCCCCAGGCGTCCCTGATTCAGCCGCTGCTGGACAGTTTCAGCAGCATTCCGATAATCCGGCACCTTTAGGACCCAGGGGGGTGCCGGATTATCAGATATGCCGGACTATCAGGAGGGGGGGCTATGAGGGGTCTGGAGTGGGGTGGGAGGGGATGCCACCCCAGACCCCTCATAGCCCCCCTTACGATAGTCAGGCTCTGCCCCAGGCGTCCCTGATTCAGCCGCTGCTGGACAGTTTCAGCAGCAGCTGAATCGGGGATGCCTGCAATAGAGCAGCTGGGGTGCTGCCGGGTTGGTCCTGTAGCACTGCCCCTCGGCGCTGTGAGACCAACCCGGCAGCACCCCAGCTGCTCTGCCCCAGGCATCCCCAATTCAGCCACTGCTGAAACTGACCAGCCGC